TCAGATTGTGGACTTGATGGATAATAATGGAATGCGATATGAGCACCTTTCATGCAGCCGATTCTCGCCAGGTAATCTCTCCTTAACCCTAAACCCTCCGATAACAATTCCAATAACGTCTCCTTCAGTTGCTGCATATATTTCTTGTACTCACTCGTAACCTTCCTGCAAAAAAGAACAATCCATCAAATGATATACATCGAGCGAATTTATAATTTGAAGCAATTGTTGATCTTCCTTGTTAGAAACAAAGATATCACGATAGTTATAGGGGTTCATTTTTTTTATTTAAGTGGAGAATCACAGCAAGTAATTAAACGATAGTTATAGCAGTTGTCCCCTTAATCGAAGAAATGCAACTGCTTATAGCTATAGCTAGTTCGTTTAATTCCCGTCTTTGTATTATAGATAGTTTGTTCAATTGATATAGTATCTCTCCACACTGCCACCTTTGTATTATAATCGAAGATCCTTTGGTTGACTTCGTTACTCGTACACCATGCTTTCTTCAACTCTTGAGGTTGTTCATGGAATCCACGAACGGCATCCAACATGCTTTTCATTAAGTGAAACGGAACTCCGTGATTAAATATCCGGAGAAACCCCATGTTTGAGCCGCGTCGAGTATGATGTCCACGATTTCAGATCTGCGTTGATCGGTCTCGACGCCTTCAAGTTCTATCACCGGAATCTGAAGCTGCACGGTTAAAGTGGCGTTTGGTGAAGAAACCTCCGGGGGATGGATTAAACGAAGCATAGACGTAATATTGTTGTGTTAGGGAAATCTATACCATTTTTATCCTTTGATTAGTTTTTTTTTTTTGGATAATTAGATTATTATTACCCAATGAAAGTAGTAACTGCTTCAAATCCAAGACAATCAAACAAGCATAAAAAAGGGGTGTCAAGATACACAAAAAATCATACTATACCCCAAGAATTACAAAGAGAAAGATTAGTTATATCCAATCTATTGACAACCCTATTGCTAAGTTGTATTCCTACAGTCTTTTTGATTGAGGCCAGAATCTCGTCTTCGAATCTGTAGGTTCCTCAAAAAAGTCTTTGATTCCTTTATTCCCATATTGTATAATTGAGAGTGCACCAAGAAAGCTTCAATATCCTAGTAAGCAAGGACTTTCCTTTCCATGTGTTATATGCCCAAGTAAACAGATTAGTCCAGGTAAGAAGAGGTTTATGAATACCTGTGAGCTGAAGAATAGAATTCCAGATTGAAGCAGTTGTTTTACATTCAACAAAGAGATAGTTTCTGGATTCCCTTGCTTCGGAACAGAGGATGCACATATTATTAGTTCCAATTCCAAACCGTAGCAGCCTATCCTTTGTAGGAAGGCGATCCAAGATAACCATCCAAGAGATTAAGCTATACTTGGGAATGTGTAATGAAAACCAAATCAGTTTATGCCATGGGACTTTATCGTTTTTCTGTCGAACCTCTTCCCAAATCAGTTTGGTAGTCACAGCTCCGGATGCAAGAAGAGGTCGAGCAGCTGCTCGGAGTTTCATGATTTTCCTTAGGATCCAACTTGAGTTCTTCGGTTCTTCCATGTGCCAGAAATCATGATCCTTGATGAGATAGTTGAGAATCCAAGCTACCCTAAGGTAACCCTCCCCTACAAGTAATTTCTTTATGAGTAGAATCATGGATGATTTGTTCCATGACTTGATGTCCTTAAGACCAAGTCCGCCTTCCGACTTTGAGGGTGCAAATTTTACCCCAGCTAACTCTAGCTCCCACTGCTGAAATGTCGGAACCTTTCCAAAAATATCTCGAACAAATTTGTTCGATTTTGTTAATAACAGATTGTGGCAAGACAAGTTGCCTACACCAGAAGTTTGCCACACTAAATAGAACTGTTTTGATCAACTCCAATCTGCCAGTGTAACTTAGCTTCTTCCTGGACTATTGATAGAGTTTGACCTTGATCTTGTCTATTAGAGGCTGGCAGTCTTTGACCGAAAGCTTCCTTGTGACCTGAGGTATCCCCAGATATCTGGCGGGTAGTTTTCCAAGCTTAAAACCAGAAGAATTAATAATAGTGTCAAGAGAGTAAGCTGAAATTCCAGTAGTAAAGATTTCACATTTTGCAACATTAAGCTTGAGGCCATAAATTTCATAGAAGTAGTCAAGAACAGTGATGACTCCCATGACAGATTCCAGATTTCCCTTGCAGAAAATTAGGAGATCATCAGCAAAAATAAGGTGGGTGAGATGAATTTTCTTGCATTTAGGATGGAAATTAAAGACCCCTTTTGCAGCAGCATTGTTGAGTAAATTAGATAGAATATTCCTTACCATGACAAATAAGATAAGGGAAAGGAGATCCCCTTGTCTAAGACTCTTAGCACCCTTAAAATACCCAGTCAAGCTTCAATTGAAAGCTATGGAGTAAGTTGCAGCAGAGTAGCAGGCCACTATCCATTCTATAAAAATATTTGGTAATTGAAGAGCCTTTAGAATGCTAGGAATGAATTTCCAGTGAATTGAATTAAAATCTTTTTGAAGATCAATTTTCAAGGCACACCTTGGGGAAATTGATTTCCTCCCATAACCTTTCACAATTTCTTGGGCAAGGAGGGTATTGTCTATAAGGTATTGTCTATAATACTCCTTCCTTTAACAAAAGCGGATTGGTTAGAGGAAATAATCTTTGGCAGGAATTGAGTCATCCTAGTAACAATGATCTTTGTGATGGCCTTATAAATTACTGAACGACATGAAATAGGGCGAAAATCAGAGACTTTGACGGGGTTCAGTATCTTTGGAACCAAGGCAATTGTAGTGGCATTAAAATCTAGGAAGATATAAGATTCCTTGAAGAAAAAGGTAATAGCTTCAATCACTTCTTTTCCAACCACTGCCCAGGTTTTCTTGAAGAAAATAAAGGAATATCCATCTGGGCCCGGGGCCTTATCATTTCCTTGGCTGAAAATGACCTCCTTGATCTCTTCTGGAGTAACTTCCTTAGTAAGGCTATCATAATCTTCAGAGAGAGGAATAGGATGAATAAGGTCTTTAAGAAGTCTGGTGGGATATTCTTTAATATTAGGGTCTTGAGAGCCTATAAGTTTTTGGAAAAAAGTTTACTACTTCTGAGGACACGTCATCAAAAGTTTCCAACCTTCTTCCTTGATCATCCACAATCACTCTAATGGTGTCTTTCTTCCTTTTAGAAGCAATGATTGAGTGAAAAAATCTGGTACATTTGTCATCTTCTTTTAGCCAGTGAATTTTTGCTTTTTGTTTGAGAACTATTGTTTCGGCTTCCTCTAAGGAGGTGAGGTCATTTTGCAGCTTGCCAACAGACTCAACGCCTCTTAAGGTAAGGATTTTTTGTTTTTCAATTTCTTCTCTCTTTAGTCTAACCCGAGCAGAAATGTCACTGTAGTAGTTATTATTGAGGGTTTTGAGGCTGACGTTAATGCGTTTGAGCTTAAGAAAAAGCTTCTTCATAGGATTTCCTTAGATTAGAATGGACCAAGAGTGGCTGACAATATTAAGAAAATTTGGGTGCAAGGTCCAGCAGTTAAAGAATTTAAATGACTTTGGTCTATTGGATTGAACCTCTTTGTGAAGAGACATCAAAGCCATACAATGGTCAGAGGGTCCAGGGGCCAGGAATTCCACAAAAGAGTGAGGAAAAAATTCAGGCCAATGAGGGTTGATGAGAACTCTGTCAGGCTTTCGGGCAAGGAAATTTTCTTTTTGTTTGTTACTCCAAGAGTAAGTTGGGCCAAAAAATGGATGGTCAAGGAGGTGAAGATCATGAGAGATTTCCTAGAATTCAATCATTTCAGGGGAAGTGACCATACTAAGTTGCTCATGAGCAGAAGATTCATGAGGATGAAGGATGACATTAAAGTCTCCTCCCAAAATCCAATGAAGATTACCAAAATCATAATCACTATTTCGAAGGTCTTGCCAAAGGTTCCTTCGCGTGGTTCCATCGTTACACCCATATATTGCAGTAAGTAAGAAGTGACTGTTATTGAAGTTGCTTTTAACAGTAATGCTCTGATCCGAAGCATGACATAAAGAAATGTTAAGATTGTTCCTCCACAGAAACCAAATTCTTCCATTTATGGCAAAGTCATAATTGGAATAAATATTCCAATTTTCAAAAGTGGAGACTAGAATGTCAGTGGATTTGTCCTGCTTAACCCGGGTTTCTAGCAAGCAAAGAATATCAACTTTGTAAAGAGTAGCTCTTTTCAGGACCTTGGTTTGTTTTGGAGGATTGTTTAATCCTCTAACGTTCCAAAATGAGATGATCATTAGGCTTGAGTTGAGGGATTTAGTTCCCCTCCTTTACTGCCAACAATAGAAAGTTTTGATTTCTCAAGATTGTGTTTCTTCTTTGTTTTGAGTTCTTTGATCAAGATGGCAACACCAGAAGCAACTTTTCTGGGCTGTTTACCAAGAAGAATAAGTATTGACTGAGTATCTTCAACTGAGTTGAGAATTTCAAACCTGTTACTAGATGCTGCTAGAGCTCTGCTTGGATTATTCTTAGGAGGTCGACCTCTGCTTCCTTTAGAAAGAGAAGAAGAAGAGGTTTGAAAACTGTTTGCAGAGCTTTGTAAAGCTGGAACAGAAGGATCATTTGAATCTTGAAGAACAGGGTCAACGGAGGGGAATTTTCAGAGAAAGAAAAGACCATTTGATTAGTTTTAATTGAATTTGAATGTGATATGAAAATTTTAATTTTATTTTATATTCAATTGCATACATTTAAAATAAATTGATTTAATTTTTTTCGTGTCAAATAAATATAAAATAAAAAAATATCATGTTAGATGATTATTTTAATTTAAATATTTTAATAAATTTTATTTTTCTTTCAATCGTTTATTGGATAAATTGGTATATGAATAAAAATGACAACAGCCCTGGTGAGAGATAAAAAAATAGTATAATTTAGATATTTAATGTTTTGGATCACATCACATTAACTAATTCTGATTCGTCAGAAGATGCTTCAAGCCACAACTAGTGGCACATAGTTTTGATGCCAAAAGGACGGTCAAAATCTTCCCTGTACGACCTAGTTCACACCTATATAACAATCAAATTCCATCGCCGATGGTATAACAAGTTCATAGCCATGGATTCTGAAAACCCCTCAACCTTTGAAACCCAAGCCGAAGCACCTCCTCCACCAACCAACAACATGGTTCATAAAGTGAAAAGAAACTTATCTTTTCAATCCAAATGGGCAGAACTGAATGGCGCCATGGGAGATTTAGGCACCTATATTCCTATTGTATTGGCTTTGACACTTGCCAAAGACCTTAACTTAGGCACCACTTTGATATTCACTGGTGTCTATAACGTTATCACCGGCGCCATATATGGTGTCCCAATGCCTGTCCAACCCATGAAGTCCATTGCCGCGGCAGCTTTATCGAACAGCTCGGATTTTGGCATCCCGGAAATTATGGCGGCCGGTATTTGTACCGGTGCAATTTTGTTGGTTTTGGGTGCTACAGGATTGATGCAGATGGTGTACAGATTGATACCTTTGTCTGTTGTTCGGGGAATTCAACTGTCCCAAGGCTTGTCATTTGCTATGAGTGCTGTGAAGTACATTAGAAAGGTTCAGGATTTTTCCAACTCGAAATCTATGGGGAATAGACGGTGGTTGGGGTTGGATGGATTGGTTTTGGCCATTTTTTGTGCTTGTTTCATAATTGTTGTCAATGGTGCAGGTCAAGAAAGAAATCAAAGTGACGCTAATGTTGGTGAAGAAAGGGATATTAGAAGAAAAAGAATGAAGAAAATCATGGCTACCATGCCTTCAGCTTTCATTGTTTTCGTGTTGGGAGTAGTGTTAGCATTCATAAGGAGGCCTAAACTGGAGAATGACATCAAGTTTGGACCTTCAGTTATGGAGGTATTGAAAATACACGGTCATTCATGGAAGGAAGGGTTTATCAAGGGGACGATTCCTCAACTGCCTTTATCGGTACTAAACTCGGTGATTGCTGTCTGCAAGTTGTCCTCAGATCTTTTTCCGGGAAGGGAGTTCTCGGCCACCTCAGTTTCAGTAACCGTGGGACTAATGAACTTAGTGGGATGCTGGTTTGGTGCCATGCCATGCTGCCATGGTGCGGGTGGGCTAGCTGGGCAGTACAAGTTTGGGGGCAGGAGCGGTGGGTGTGTAGCCATTCTTGGTGCAGCCAAGATGGTATTGGGTTTGGTATTAGGAACTTCTTTGGTGACGATATTGCACCAGTTTCCGGTAGGCATCTTGGGTGTTTTACTCTTGTTTGCAGGGATCGAACTAGCAATGACTTGCAGGGACATGAATTCAAAGGAGGAGTCATTTGTGATGTTAATATGTGCTGCAGTTTCACTTGTAGGGTCAAGTGCAGCACTTGGTTTTGTTTGTGGATTGCTAGTGCATGTGCTTCTTAAGCTAAGGACAAAATGTATGCCTTGAAATGAATAGCTGTAGCCTGTATGATATACCATTGAATTTCCTTACTATTAGTGTTTTTAAAGATTCTTTCTTCTCGTTTTGTCCGACTATGAGATTATTTCGTTTCCTGATGCTAGCAGTGTATAGTGGCCAAATATGATCGTTTACTTCTCGAGTCCATAGAATCCACAAATGCAGAATTTCCTTACTGGATTGCAGAAATAGTAATGTTTATGTATACAGAATGGTGCAGCAGATAAAAAAATGCACATCTCACCTAAATAGGACAAAGGAGGGGAATCAAAACTAGCAAGAAAGAAGAAAAGAAGTAATGACAATGAGAAATTTTGCTGAGAGGATTCTACTAATGTGGTCTCAAATGGTCAATTTCCAGCTTTGTTTGAATTATCTTTGATTCTGCTTTGGAATTTTGGAGCATCAACTTATTATTCCTCTATCCGAATTCGGAGGATTAGATGCCGAAAGTACGCTCATTGGTCTCTGATCTATACGTGAGGAGCTTGATATATAGTTACTGCCATCAAAGCCACTGTTTCCTTGTAGTCTGCAATGATATCATACAAAACCTTACCCAGAAAAGTTCATAATATACAGAACATTTCTTTTAAGCTCGGCAAAATGCAAAAATTCTGTCTTCATACAGATCATATAAAATAGCAAAATTAAAATATCACCTCGAATGTTGCAAAAGAATGTGTGATTGATCTCCCATGTATGCAGCTAACATCATAAAAATCATAATAAGCATCAGAATAACCATATTAATATTAAAATTTAGCATAATTAGAAGAGAAGTGAATTTACAAGGTATAGCTGATATGAAAGGTGACCCTAGAGTCATTGGAGATGATGCGGTATATGATGAATGATATGCCATTACTGAAGAGGAGTCCAAACCGGATGCATGAGACAAGGCAGTCGGATCTTGGACACTAGGGAGGGCTCCTAGATAAGATGCCATTGAAGGAAACTACAGAACAAATTACGGTTAGCAAATGAAGGTCAGAGCAAGTGCACAAAATTCAGAAGATATTAATACTGTTGGAAAAATGGAATCCATGTTAGTGGATCCTGAAACTGTCAATAAGCTTATATTATATAAAACTATCTTTATATTCATAAGAAGTTAATCATTAACTGACTAGATAATAGTTAGTTAAGGCAACTAAAAGAAGGAAAGTGGAGAAGAGGCAACTTTTAGTTTTTAAAATATAAAGACAAAAGAAAGCAATGTATTTGTGAGCTAAAGTTGCATGTGATGCGTACTGCTGGGACTTGTCCTGGAGTTGCATCACTATCAAATGGATTTGTCTTTGCAGTACTTGGGAATGCTGCCACATTCTGTGAACAGATAGATACAGTTTAAAATCTCCAATATACAAGCAATAATTAACGTAGCAATTACAGAATTCGAAGTTTTAAGAGCACAAGATACCATTGCATTAGGATAATATTGCAAACCAAATCCCATTCCATATGGTAGGGCATTTTGCCAACTCGGAAATGCTCCAGGGGCTGATCCATAGCCTGCTGCAAAGAGATCCTACAAAGAAAGAATATATTGTCTAGAGAGTTCATGAACATCCAAGACAACCGAAGGCAAAAGCATCACCTGTGGAAGTTCCTTTCTTTTGTTAGATTTTGTTTCTGCTGGAGGCTGCACTCCAACTCCATATGTTGTTTCTATAGCAGATGTTGAGGTGGCTTGATATGACTGTGCAGTAGATACATTGGTCAATTGTTGAGAAATATGCATCAAGAATGAAGTACGATGCTGCAAATATTAACACAAAGCAATAGGTTTAGTTTCCAACAACTTCCGATCAACCTAATGGTAACCTGGCTATTCTATTCTTCAACTGCTCGAGTGTATGGATGTGCAGAAAAGTTATTATCAGAAGCAGAGAACAGTGAAAGCTGATGTTGTTGCATGCCGGGAAAGCTATGGCCCTCAGAAGCTTTGACTTTGTAGTCACCATTAACATCAGTTGTTGCTTGAAAGCCTGGATTAAAAGGGTATTGCTGGATATTTACAACCTGTGGAACTGTTGAAGAAACATCCGTACTTGTCAATGCCAAAAATTGTGGTGCAGATGCTGTAGAAAAACCATCTAATGAAATGTTCTGTCCAGATGCAATTGACGGAGCACTTGTGGTGCCTGGTGCTGCAGAGACATTATCAACAGGTACCACAGATAAATCTGACAGATCAAAGAGTAAAGCCTCCAAATAATTTGGATTAGAGACAGGAGGTGCTTTTCCCTTTGAAGAGAAGTCATCTGAGGACTGGCTATCATCATTTGATGGAGGCACTTGCTGCACATTTGGTGCTGCCACCTCATTGGACGGCTCAGAATCCATACTGAAATCGATCAAACTTTCCAGAACACCAGGTGATGCATTCTTCTGTGAAGTGAAAAAATAACAGAGTGAGTGCATAAGAATGTTCTCATGAGCTACGTCTAAATAGGGATGGAGCTAGAATTAAATATTGGTGTGGACCGAAATATTAAACTATTTAAGAAAAATATAAAAATTTATTATGTATTTAAACTCGAAATTCTGTATGAACCAAGCGACCTTAGTGATTAAGGGATTGTTATTATCCTTGAAGTCCCGAGTTCAAGCACGTATGTAGGGGTATGAGCATTCATTGTCAAATAGTTAAAAGTCTTTGTACATATATTACCTTGTATTTACTCTAAATTAAAAAAACTCAAAACTCAAAAGAAAATTTCTAACTTGTCTAATATTTAAACATACAATGACTTAAATTATAATTAGACCAAAAATTTGAGAACACAAACTTATCATTCTTTAGTTCGACCTCTACTTGATTAAATATTTAATAAATTTTTATATTTTTTAAATTTAAATATTTATTTTTACATAAACTTAAATACTATTAAATCAAAATTATATCGAATATATAAATTTTAACAAGAGTCGAGACCCGTTGGACCCTAAGGAAGCTCCATCATTAGCTGACCCTATTCCCATATGTAATGGGGTGAGGGGGAGGTAGGGTAGTAGGTTGCCTCAACGTCAGGTTGGGAGCAGCTTTCGTGGAAGACCTCCGGCATTCAGAATTATGAATTGTCCACCGTGGGACATGATCCCACGACCACAAGGTTAAGAGCCTTGCGCTCTACCAACTGAGTTGGACGGTAAACTGCTGAACTGTGTAAAACTTAAAAATTTAATTTATGAAACCAGTTCATTAAAAATCTATTGAAATGTGTTAAGCAATACTCAGTAAATGTTTCAAATATGCACTTGAAATCCTGTGCATGTTTCATATCTGAATTAAAAAAAATGAAACTTCTCTTTTGAGAGGAAATGAATAAACTCTGGTTCGGGAAATACTAGGGATTTGACATAGTTTCTAAACAGTCACTTCTCGCTAAATATGTTGTTGATTCTTATGGTGCGCTTGTGTTTAAGAAACCAATTGTGTTTCTTAGAACCCAACTAAAAGAACAATAAAACCACAAGCCTCTGAAATGGAACACCATTAAGGCCATAGTTAAATGGACAAGTAGCAGCAACAGTTTCACCTGGTTTTCAGCAGAACCATCAGGATCCCTTGCAGCATTTTCATTTGAATGTTCACCCACCTGAATGGCAGGAGCAGTCTCCCCCAAGCTATCTCTAACTGGCTGCTCCACTGGAGAACCAGACCTCCCTAATTCGAGGCTAAATGACCGACTTCGTCTCACAGGTTCTCTATGTGGAAATTCCGGGTTATCTTGTTGCCTGGCACTTCTAGAACCCTCAGGTCTGAGCCTGTTGTCAACGATCTCGATGCGCATAGAATTTCTACGGCCACTTCCAAATCTTGAATTTTTTCAGGATATCGAGGACTTCTTCCCTCCTTATAGAAAACCCTAACAGCACCTCTTCCAGCAGGACTAAATCCTTCATTTGAACTCCATTCTCTTCTATCTTCATACAGTGGACCTCAGGATCTACCACTAAATACACTGTCCTTCCTGCTTTCAAAAGAATTCGTCCTGTGTAACTGTATAAAAAAGAGAGACAAAATTAAATGATAACTAACATGAAAGATATTCAGTCTTGTTAAATATGGCATACAAGGGATACCAATCTTACACACGGAAGACTGTCACCCTTCTCATTCTCACTAGCGTATCTCCTTTCCACATAGACTTGCCTGATGAAATCTCGGAGCTTATGAATATTACTGAAAGCAAACATATACTGATCAAGAACACTTTTGGAGCATCTAAACATTAAAAAGAGAGATGTTCGATAACCTGCCATCAGGAAAAGAATGAACTAAAGGATCCCAAGCTTTGAAGTAAATTTGTCTTGCCCGCTGCGAAAAGTTAAGAAATAAGTTATGACAATGGAAAAGAAGAAAAACACACGATTATCTAACTATTCATGCTGACCTCATTTCCTGCACTAAATTTGCCCAATGATATTGACTTGACTCGATGAGTGAATTCCCGACTGAAATAAGTAAAAAATCCATATTGTAAAATATGAACTGAACTAGGAATATTTACAAAACCATATTAGAACCTCATTGTAATTGGCATAAAACGTGTATATATAATATGCGCAAATTTAACTCAAGAAGGCAACAGAAGCAACGACATGTGATAAAAACTTACTGTATTCCACTACAGTTGTTTCAAACAAAAGTCAAGAAAGTGGTACAAACATATTGGGGACCCTGCCAAGAAGAAAGCATTAATTAATGTTAATACTTGAATTTTCTTTCAATCGATGTATTCTTGAAATTATAGTGATTTTTTTGGCGGATACAAAATTAAATTGCCACTCACAATTTATTCTAATTCACTTTAAAAAGTTATATTTTTAGTTTTGATACTGTAATTTAAATTTTCTGACTCTATCCTTGTATGTTCATGCACTTTAAGAATAAGTGTGTCGATTTCGAGTTGAGACAACTTCCTTGAAAGATGGATTTCCTAATAAATAGAATTTAAATGCCATAGTTCGAATGTCACAGAACAAATTTCTTATAGGGATCATTTTTCATTCTAAAACATGTAGGAATTTAAATGCTGAACTAAAGAATTCGAATGCCCCTTCTAAAAAAACATCTCAAAGCAATTGTTTAAACAAGAATTTCTGGGAAAATCAGAACCATAGGAATTAAAGTATAACGTAAACGATGATTCGATACATAAAAAATAATCGAACTTGAAAAATATAAACAAATAAAAAAATCTAAGCAAAATCATACCAAAATATTGCAGTTGATGCATCCTTTATTCTCTGGGAGTTTGAGGAGAGCTCGAATCGTCCTCTCCATTCTTTCATCATCCTTTACCTTCTTCTTACTCCCCATTTTCTCCGTAAAGAAATGAAAGGCAAACTTTCACCCTCCTCCATTCACAAAGAACCAAAATCTCAAATAGTTAGAGATACAATCATTTAGATAAAAATCATATATAATAAAAACGGTGGTGATAACCATATCAAACCCATATTCAGATTTATCATAAAATTGAAATTTTCTTTTCAAATTTTCCTAATTTTCTTAAGAAACAAAGGAGGATGGTAAGTAAATGTAAAACGCACCTTAAGTATAAGCTAGAGAAAACAGGGAGATCAAAAGATGAAGAAGGAAAGGAAGAAGAAAATTTATATATTAGAGAAAGAGAAAGCATAAATATTCCCGGAAAAAGTGGTTCCAATACCGTTTTGAACCGTTGAACTTGAATCCGTTTTTTTCATAATTATAATCAATAATAAATTTAAAATAAATAATATAATTACAAACCGAGCGAACTCAGTGAGTTATTGTTATTCTGGATGCCATCACGAGACATGAATAATTAGAATGCACACCTCGAAGAACTCTGGCGTTTATGCATAAACTGAGCATGAATTAATCTTAAACTTCCTTGGGCTTCTTAGTTTTTACATGATATTTAAACATTGATAAGCATTCCACCATTATCAACGATTGCTTGTATGTTCATATACAATAACTGAAGCAAGTTCGGGGTCCTTGTTTGTTGGTTTTAGGATTTTACTGCTCAAGTTTATGTTGAAACCATTCCAGTTTCTCTTCTACTTTATATACAAATCAGTTCCTGAATTTATCAACACCCACATGGGTTGCCCATATTTCGTGGATTTTGGTTTGCAGAACGTATTCATTGAAGAAGCATTTCGTGCAGCCATCACCGGCCTTGAGCTCCCTCAAGAAAGTGCGGAGACCTCTCTCGCGGGTCGCCTGCAAAGTGCTCTTTACCACCGTCGTTGCCATCTCCACACCTTTAACATTCACAAAGTTCTAAGAAAGCAAGGAGCTAGAGTTTAAAGGCGGTTGTTGCACTTTTAGCTATCAGAGTAATAGAGAAGACTCTTAGTCAATTATGCTAAGCTGTTGAGCGGTTAACAGACCATCCCACAAACGAGAATCATCAAAAGAATCTTTTGATAGTGAAACCTGGTGATCATTTTGTATCGATAAATATACTCTTCTCCATAACATCGACGCTTCATTAGCTTAAAAAGATTAACTTCCAAATCAATTTGCGAGGTTATTGTCTATAAGCAGTTTCTTCAGCTCAAGTGCAATTCTAATAGCTACATGATTTGGAATCTTTGTAACAGTTGACATTCTGTTAAGCAAAAACATGGATAAAATATAACACTGATTTGCGTAATCACCCAACAAGACTTCCACTTTGACGAAGTCGTATTTGGAGGTAGCGTTACAAGGACTGGATTTAACTGAGGGAAAGGAGAGACCGATAATCTTACCGTCGTTGTCGTCTTGGCCACTGAAATTGTGGTTAGCTCTTGTTCACTCTGCAACTCCCTTGCCCTTGAAGTTGTTCATCGTCCTCTCATTTTTTCTCATTCTCTCATTTTTCTTTTAGGTTTCAATGATAATTTATACCTAAAATTTCAATACCCTTCCCTCACATAAAATTAATGTCGTCAGCTAACACGTCTCCATCTCTGCAAAGTTAATAAAAGGGGGAGTCAATTAATTTTAATGATTAAAAGATTAAATATTTTTTTAAAAGTTATAAGTTTAAATATTAATAAAAATATAAGTATTATTGTCAGTTGATTATGAATATTTAAATATATACTATATTATATTTATTTGATATATACAAAATCATAAAAAGAAAAAGAGAAAGTAAAGGAAATTGTAGAAGAGATAAGATTGAGTCAAAAGGTCAACTCTCGTCTTACATCCTACGTGGCCAAATAGTGCCAAATAAATTAGTTTAACATGCCATATCAGTTTTATGTTGTGTTAACGTAGGCAGAGTTAGATTTTTTGTTTGAAATGTTAAATTTAGAAAAAAAATACTTTAGGGTGATAAAATTAGAAATTGTATAAAAAATATTTTTAAGTGGATAAAAATAAATAATGGGTGTAAGTTTATGTTTAAAGGTACCCATATATTTTTAAAAATATATTTATTTTATTTTATTTTTAAATATTTTTATATTAAATTTATAAAATAAAGTAATTGTCAAAAAATTTTAGGGTGTCATTTGCAATTCACTGACTCCGTCAATGGGTTAACGGCAATTAACAGCGGGAGATTTATTTGTTATATATCGATAATATTAGTGACTAATTTATTATTTTTGAAACTTTGTTAAAAAATTAAAATTTATTTAAATAATAGTGAACATTTATGTAATTTACCCTATAAATAAAAGTATCGGAAAAGTTTTTCCAAAGGCGACCGATCGCATTCATGTCATAAAAAAGAAGCGTACTCCTCACAAACTCGCAATTTGTAAAGCATTCATATCGATACCCGGTCTTCAATTCAGGTATAAACGGCAGCGTTTCTTTTCCAAATGAAGATCGATCTGGTAGAGTAGGGTTTGGAGATCTCTCCTATTTGAAGTAAGAATATACGTTCATATCCCTATGCTTTTGCCTAATTTCAACGAGAATCGAGGAAATTGAACTTTTAAGCCTTTCGATTTTATTTTTCTCTCCGGGAATCAAATGTTCAGTTAGGTATTTTGGGATTTCAATTTGAAGGTCGAGGAGGTTTAACAAAAGGACAAAATGTCTGTGAAAGTGGCACAATCGTCATTTAGGGATCGGACGCAAGAATTTCAAAGCGTGGCGGAGAGGTTAAGGAAGTCATTCTCTTCTGGGCCGGGTCAAAATGGATCGAGTAGCAGCAGTACGTCGAGAGCGAAGGAACAGAGATCTGTGGTTGCTCGTCAATCGGAATTTAATAAAAGGGCTTCTAAGATTGGGTTTGGGATTCATCAGACCTCGCAGAAGCTATCTAAGTTAGCAAAATGTAAGTATATACTTGTTTCGATTACATTATAATTGTTTTTGTTATTTTATTTTTAATGAATGGATTTGCACAATAATTGACGGAGGTTTGTGCGTATTGCTTTTAGAAAGACGAACAACGCATGGGTTATTTGCAACCTGAAATTTAGCTTCGCAGGGAGTTTAGCTTAGAATTTAAGAGCTTTTAATCGGAGTTCTGCTGATTTAAATGCATTTTTGGTTTACTATTTGCTCTTTATCTAAGGCAAGTTATAATTAAAATGAATTTCCTAATTTATTTTATTCGTCTTCCTCTTGTATTTTGTTGTCTGATTGCACCCATAATTAAAATGATTGTATCTTTGGCTTTTGAATATCTGGTATTTATAATGTACTTGAGTCTGGTAATGTTAAGGGCACTAGGTGCATTCTAGGAACTAGAACCCTTATATTGCCTTAGGTACAAGACAGAAAAAAAAAGTTATCCCTTAGTGAAGTAAGGCACAATATATGTATATCCGCGTACTTCTGTATGTCTTTCTCTCTCTCTCTCTCTCTCTCTGGTAGCCTCCTCCATTTTCTGACTTTGGTTTGATAGAAATTGAACTAACAAATGTTAGGATATGACCATCAGAACCGTAGTAGGAATGTTATCCATTGTGGTTGTCTAGGTTTAGAGTATTTTTGAAACATTGATGAAATTCAATGTGCACAATTTGTCAATGACAGATATACGAGAAAACTAGCTGACTAGATACTATTAGGAGTTTATTATTGCTGTTGTTTGGTTGTCTTGGACGTTGGTTTATATTGTATTATAGCTGAACTTGATGAAATCCAATGTGCACAAGTTGTCAGTGACAGATAGGAAAAGACAGAGATTTTATATTAATAGGAGTTCGTAATCGTTGTTATTGTTATTGTAGTTATGATGGTCCCACATATGTTTTAGAGTATGATGTAAAAGTAAAAAAAAAATCTATATTTCGCTAACCTTGCAGTGGCAAAGAGGACTTCTGTTTTTGATGACCCTACTATGGAAATCCAAGAGCTCACTGCAGTTATCAAGCAGGATATCACTGCCCTTAATTCTGCTGTGGTAGACCTCCAGCTTTTCTGCAATTCTAGAGATGAAGGTGGTATCTCCAGTGACACATCTAGTCATTTAACCACAGTTGTAGATGACTTGAAGAATCGCTTGATGAGCACCACAAAAGAGTTCAAAGATGTCCTTACAATGCGAACAGAGGTAAAAGTTGTTCAGTCTGTTCACTGAGTTTACATGGATTTTTTTTTTTGCTAGCATTCCTTATAGTTATGTCATTGGTAATTCATTCCCTTGAGAATTGATGGTAATTGAATTGGCTCGACAGAATTTAAAGGTTCATGAGAATAGAAGACAGTTATTTTCTTCCACTGCTTCAAAGGATTCCCCAAATCCCTTTGCACGGCAGCGTCCTCTGGCTATTAAACCAGCAGCTGGAGCTTCAAACAACCTTCCTCAGTGGGCTAATGGTTCTGCATCTTCATCTCAGTTGTTTCCCAGGTAACAGTTTACTTCGATGTTTTGTAGTAATATACCTATGGCCCTTGTTTTTTTTCCTGCTAATATTACTAATATACTGTGATTAACTGGAGAAAACAATTTTGCGCTTTGAAGTATTGACTTTTCTTTAGGAACTTTCAAGATCATTTAATGGTAATTTGTCACTGAATGTCATGGAACATTTCTTAACATTGCTCTTCTACTTTTTTAGCAGCATGTAACAATTGCGTTGTCATTCCTCTAGAATAGCCACAAAACTCTCTTTTCATTTTGCTATGTGCAGTGCTCACATGTTTGATATTCCGCATTTGCTTGTATTTTTCATGTATTCTTTCTCTGAAAAAAAAATCATTTCTTCTTGTAACTCTTTTGGAATCAACTATTATTTGTTACTTCTGTATCAATCTACTGGCTTTAACTTCTTATGTGAACTATATCAATTTGAAAAGTTGTACACTATTGAAACTACATTTCTGTGTATATGTTTGAGACAGTCATTTGTGGTTCTTAATTGTACAGAAAGCAGATGGATGGGGAGAGTCAGCCGTTGCTCCAGGATCAACAGCAGCAGCAGCAACAAATGGTTCCATTGCAAGACACTTACATGCAGAGCAGAGCTGAAGCTCTTCAAAACGTAGAATCCACTATCCATGAGCTTGGCACCATCTTCAACCAGCTAGCTACTCTGGTTTCTCAGCAAGGAGAGATAGCTATCAGGTTATTTGTTTTGTTTTTTCTCCTCTGGAACAATTCCCCGTGGCGATGGCATACATATAAATTCATTTTAGTTGCTGATATATTACTTGCTATGCAAGGTGTTCTATAACATAGTATGCTGCAGTAAGTAGTGTTATAATAAGTTTATAATGTTTGGAAATCTTAACAGTGTATATGGTCATGAGTAAATTTGATGAGTTTGACCAAATAGTTTTTTAAGGCTGTCTAAAGCTTCCTGGCTTAAACTTTGTTGTTTTTCTTGTAATTATGTGGTTGTGCATCGTGGTTTGGTCCTTGGGAGTATTTGAGAAGTCATTTGTTCATTAGAGTAAACAATTTTGTGATTTCCCCCTATTTTGTGGTGAGGTTTGGCATGGAACATCTTGAGGATTGTATTGTTAACCAGCATAAGTAACATGTTTACACCCAACATTGGCAACAGCTCTTGGTGCTTGTAATGTTTGGTGGGCTATTAACTTGGTTCTTATGGGCATTCTTATTCAGATATTATTGATCCTCACATGAGAGTAAATCCATCAATTCGTAGCAACTGTCAAAAGTTACGGATAACTCCCTATTATCTCACAGTAGTATTACTTGTATATCACATTCTGTATTCTTTTAACCGATTTGTGAACAACTGGACTATGATGTTCTCTTTCCAGGATCGACGAGGACATGGATGACACATTAGCGAACGTTGAGGGAGCGCAAGGGGCTTTGCTCAAGTACCTAAACAGCATATCATCTAACAGGTGGCTAATGATCAAAATATTTTTTGTGTTGATTGTTTTCCTTATGGTTTTCCTATTCTTTGTGGCATAGTCAATACAAAAGTAAGATGTCTGGTCGAAAACATAGTGAAAAGAAAATGTTAGTGCCTTTTTCGTACTCTTCTATTCTTTTGATATACGCTATCCCTCTTTCTCTCATTTTTGGCTTTAAAGCTACAGTCCTTCAGAGGTGTAATTCAACCCCTTTTTGTCGACCATGTTGTGTATGTATGTCTGGGTAGTGGGTACATGTAAATTGCACAATGCATTGGGATCAATGAAAATGGCTGAACTATTCGCTTTTCATTGTGGGTGTTATTTGACAGAATGTCTCTCAATGTGCCACTCTTATCAATAATATCAACTTTTAGAGGTTCACTTTAGTTGCTTTGGGATGATCTATGTTGCACTTAAAGAAGTAAAAAATGTGGCTTAGCTTTATTTACACTTGATCACTTTGTATGTTTTTCTTTTATATTAACATTCATGCTATGTTTGGTTACATGAGTATCAATAAAAAAAATTAAAACAGTTATGATTAGTTTGTCATGATGTAAGAAAGAATTAGAACAAATCTAAACTTGAAACTAGAGAATTAGTAAAAAAAAAAAAATCAAAATTCAAATAAAAAAATTACTATATAAGCAATATTATTTTCTCTGTGCTCAAAAGAAGACATGTAAAGTGATTAAAATTATTAATTGGAGTTAGTTTATGGATAGCTCATGTATTAAAACATGAGAAAAATAGGCATCTTATCAAATATTTATAGCATTAATGGTATTTTATAGGGTAAAGTACCCATATAGTTAATTTTATTTTTACATCGAATTAATTTTTTTTCCAATTAAATCACTATTAATCAAATTACTAACAGCTAATATTTAACACGTATTAACAAAATGACTGCGATAATTAAATAAATTTGTATAATAGTAATTTGGTTTTCATTATTTACACATTCTATCAAGCTAGTCACAATTTTAATTTAAATTAACAAAATTAATCATATAATTAGATAGTGAAACATGTCATCATTTGTTGAATAAAATTTTCTCTTATTTTAATTTACCCATTTGATTAAAAATATTTTAATAATCTTAATGATTATAAGGTAATATATATCATAATTTTTTTAATAAATTGATAACATACACTCCGTAAATACAATTATTTGAATTCAGATTCTTTTTTAAAAATATAACATTTTATTATCATTGAAATTTTTTAAAAGTTATATTCAAATATAAATATGGGTGTGTCTATATACGATATAATGAAAGTTGTCTAATTATAAGTTCCATCATTTTTTTTATAAAAATACTATGATATTAATCGAGTTGGCGGTAGACATGAATTTGAATAGTTGGTTTTGTTTAATATATTTTATATAAATTATTTAATTATTAACTTTAATATTTCGAGCTTTCTTAGATTTTGTAAATGATTAATTTTTTAAATTTTGTAAAATAAAACGATGAAATTCATATTTAAACTTTATAAAAATTATCAGGGAAAATGATGGGAAAAATCCTTACTATAAAGAAAATTAACCCACCGAATAATTTTGCAGAAAATATCATCAGCAAAATTGTCCTCATACTAATATACCCATGTTTTGTCCCGACTGAACTCATTAATCTTCCCGAGAAACAAACACTTATCTCTGATTCTACTAAAAATCCTTATCTCCTCCTCTGGTACTAGTACTACTATAAAAACCCAACCCCTGCCCTTCTCTGCAACCAAAACACACTTCATATCAAACCCTATTTTTGTTTCCCGAGAAACAAACACTTGTCTCTGATATTCGCATCTGATCACTTTTGATTTTTTTATCAAAATCCTAGACAATCATTTCCTCTTTCCACACATAGTTTATAATCAAACCTCGTTCTCTACATCTTATTCTCCGGGTTTTTTTATTGTTGAAAATTCTAAGTATATTTGTTGATTCTACTTTGTGTTGTTGTTGTTTAGTTGGGGTGACTAGATAGAAATGGTGGGAGGAGGAAGCAGGAGAGACGAAGGATCGTTGGTGATCAACAACACGAACGTGTTTGCGGCTCTTGAAACTCTCCGGAAGAAGAAGAAATCTGATAAGGACCGAGGTTCTTCTAAGAAATCTTCTTCCAAGTCTCAGCAGCCGCAGAAAGAAACCGACCCGCTGGTGCTTTGGGCTCCGGCACCGCTCAATGTCAAATCGTGGGCCGATGTTGATGAAGACGATGATTATTATGCTACGACCGCTCCTCAATCCGTTTGGGGATCCTCCGAGCCGTCTCAGAGTCATGAAGACAAGAACGTCAGTTTAGAGGTGAATTAACTTCCTGTTCTTTCTAATTGATTGCCATGGAATACATTATTGTGATGTTTAAAAGAGTTTCTGGTAGTATTTAATTTATTCTATTTATTGATGGAGTATTGTGGAACAGAAGCCTTATGTCAATGCTTGCAAATTGATGCTTTAGAAGCCAATTATTATTTACCTATGCTTTTGTGTCTGAAACTTATAGCATCCTTGTCACATTGATTTTGGTTTGAGATGGAGATGATGATTTCGGTTCTCATATATTCTAGATTGAGTTTTTTGTTTTCTACTTGTTCTTATTCTATGGCGGAGCTCCTTCGGGTGTAATCATTAGGTATTTGTAAATTGTGGTGATGGTGGTGATAGTAGTGATGCATGAAAGGTCTCTTTTAGATGTCATTCATGTTGCTAGAATTTCTTTCTACTACCAGTATTGATAAAAGTGATACTATATAGCATTATTAATAGTTTTACTTTTTGACAAGCTGTGTCTCTAATTTTTAATTGATCTGCGATTACAGGATAGTGAGAGTGAAGAAGACATTTTAGATGAAGGTGACGATGTGGAGGAAGATCTTGACCATGGACCAGAGGTTCAAGTACATCCAGAGCCTGTGCAAAAGAAGGATCCTGAAGTTCCTGCACCACCAAAGGAGCCAGAAAGACAACTTTCAAAGAAAGAGAGGAAGAAAAAGGAACTTGCAGAGCTGGAGGCTCTTCTTGCTGATTTTGGAGTTGCACAGAATGAAAAAAATGACCGGGATGAGTCACGCGGTAATTTTGATCAACTTAGTAGCTTACTTTGTAATTGTTCGTTTGCAACATTGTCTCCTTAGGCCATAGTTTTGGTGGAAAGTTGGTATTTTTGTTATTTATTCCTATTGTTGATATTAGGAAGCTCTAGAATTAATTTTAAATGATCTTTGTTATGACAACGTTTTAATTAGTGTAGTAGAGTGCATATAGACTTTGATGTGGTTTATGATTCCAACTCTGAAAACCTAAAGTTCTTTCTCAAGCACATGCGTGCGTGTGTGGACATTATCCTTTCAAGGTTACTAGAATATATCCCACCCTTTCATTTGGTGAAAAATTATCTTTTTTAAGAAATATTTATATTTAAAAATTAGTTAAGATGTAAAAAATAGAAAGTAATTTTTAAGTACATAGTTATTTAAAAGACATAATACCCTTCATTCTATTTTATTATTTTGATTTTACTTTAAACTTTAGGAAGTGTTGAGTTGTGAGCCTAGGCCCGCTTATGCATTGCACTTTAGCCTAGATAGAAAAAGCACCTCAAACACTTTCGTAAAGGCACATTTTTTCAGGCAAAAAAAACATAGGGGTTCTATGTCTAGAATGCACACCTTATGCCCTTGAGAACATTGTAATTTCACTTGTTGAATTGGTGTTCAAGTAACTTGTGACATCAATTCAATTAATCCTCTTGGTTACAGTATAAATGTGCTGTTTCCTTGGGCGCAGTGAAGATGGCAGTTTCGCTATTCCTGAACATTTTAAAGTCTCCTTTAAGCGTAGATCCTTTTGACTCTATCTCCTGTATCTGCAGATGTTGGGCAAGAAAAGAAAGAAGGAGAAAAGAAGGAAAATCCTCCGGGAGAGTCTAAAAGTGCCAAGAAGAAGAAAAAGAAGGATAAATCAAAGGAGGGAAAAGAATCACAGGAACAGCTTACTAGTACAAACATTACCAATGGGCCAGACGAAGCAGCTGGGGTCGAGAAGACCGAGGCCGATGCATCCGCAGTTGACGTGAAAGAGCGGCTAAAGAAGATGGCATCTATGAAGAAGAAGAAATCTAGTAAAGAGATGGATGCTGCTGCGAAAGCTGCTGCACAAGAGGCGGCTGCAAGGAATGCAAAGCTTGCTGCTGCAAAGAAGAAAGAAAAGAATCATTACAACCAGCAGCCAGTGCGGTAAGACATTTTGTTCAACGGAACATATATATATGTACGTATGAACCATGTGTTTGTAGATCATATGACTATCCTAAAACAATAGTGGGCTTTGCTTAATCGAAAAATGACGTTTTAGTTGTATTTGAATGGACTAAAAACAAAGTTCTATCTTTGTTAGCTTTTTGAATCTTTTTGTTGTGCAGTACATTACTTTTAGTTTTTTCTTCTGTGTTGATCTTCGACTGTTGACTTCCGGTAGTGAAGTAATATTTCTTCTGGAAAAGGGAGAAGAATGCCAAAATCAGAACAACATCCACCAATGATATTGAATACAAGTGGAGGAATGTAAGCAACACTAAGTTAAAATCTCCTAAAACTAATATTGATATGATTAAGCCCAACATGTTTAATATTGTGGACTAATAAAAAGAGAAGATAAATCATTACCATCTTCTCTTCGAGCATTTGTAGGATGTTTGTATTTATAACCTCTCCATAACTCCTCTTCTCCTTTACAAAACCTTCGTTGCTTTGGCGGTCTAGATTAAAAGCCCATTTTCTCTTAGATAAACAAATTGATTTTACATGTATTTGGTTTTCAAGCTAAAACAAATGGGGAAAATAAAGGGATTGAATTTCAGATAATTAGGTATCAAATGATTCATCATATGCGTGCTTGCACGTAGATATTTATGTAAAAAATATTATACAAATATGATACATATTAAATGGAATGATGAGAAGAGATAAAATTATATGAAAAATACAAAAATAATAAGATTAAATCAGCACCGTTAATTTGCAATGCCTATAAAATGAAAAAAAAGTAAGGTTAGTGATGATTTTATTATAAAAAAACTAGTTCAACGACCAAAATAGGAAATAACAATAGATTGATGACTAATTGTATAGTTTAACCATAATGGGTTAGTCACAACTTATTGTATAGTTTAACCATAATACGAAATATGACACAACTTATTCACCCGAGCACTATGCTCTAATGGGTTAGTCACTATTACATCGTTACTTATAGCTTATAATTGGATTCTCAATTCTCTCACCAATTTGCTACTAATATATGAATAAGTTGATCACAGATTAATCAAAACTAAAACAAACTTATCAAATAATTGAAAAGTACCTGATTGCCATGATCTCTGGATCATCGCGATCTTCACTAGTCTTTATGTTGTAAACCCGGGCAGTTGAACACATCTCATGTTGAGTGGACGACTCAGATTGATTTATTCCTCTACCTCTTCCTCTACTTCTCGAAGACACCGTAGCAGATCGCTCAGTTTGTGCAGCCTCTCCAGTCATCAATGGACAATCCTAGATAAAATATCCGGCGTCCCCTATCTAAAGCAGGCTCCCGAGACCACCCGACATACTCCGGTATGATTCTTTCCACAATACTGACACTGCCTCGATTGACTTTGATTAGATCTACCAACTCCAGACCCTACTGATTGAGTCTGTCTAGCTCTCATCGGATTTGATCCTCTGGCAGAGGATGCAGCTGACTCAGATCTGGTCTGAGCTTGAAAACCAGAACCTTTGCCTCTCTTTGATGGTGTTGAACTCGATGAAGCACCATTTCTCTTAATCATTTGAGTTTTTTGTTCTCCAAACCTCTCATTTTGAGCTCTCATAAGAACTTTAGCGTAATTAACCACTTCTTGAAACGAGGACAGATTCAAAACTATTAACATCTCTTTCAGTCTAGGGCGCAAGCTGTTGAGTTAATCGATCGATGAAATTGGCCAAAAGGGGGGTGAATTGGCAATTAAAATTTTGGTGGAAGTTTTTGCAAAAAATTGCAAAGATTTGCACAGCGATTTAGAGTGGTTCGACTTTCTCAACTAAAGTCTACGTCCACTACCTTAGCTATCCACACTAAGGATTTTCCAACAAATTCACTAATTTGTTCTTTCTTTTGAGGCCAAAGAGATAACCTTACAACTCCCTCAAGAATATACCCCAATTCTTGAGAACACTCTTTCTCAAAGAGAAGATTATAAATTTGCGAACTTACAGGGAAATCCTCACAAGGTAGATTGTTTGCACAATTCTAGAACAAAGAAAAGAACACTAAAAAATGAATAGAATTGAGTACAAGTAGTGTTCTTGAAAGCAAAATGAATATTGAATGAAGAATAAGCTTGAAATGCTTAAACTTGAGGTTTGATGCTTTCTCTTTGATTCTCTCTTGATTCTTGTTTCTTGTGTTTTCTTGTTGTTGATCAATGGCTTCTAAGCTTGTTTAAATACTCCTTCAAATGATTCTGAACGTTGGGGATGGTTAGTGGAGTCAATATAGCCGTTTAAGTGTGAAAACAATTAATTAATACAGTTAGGAGCGTCAGTGCATCAAGTGTAAAATTCAAATATTTTGACCGTTAGAACACTTAGTGCATCGGTGCACTAAGAGTGCATCGATGCATGAAATGCATTCGATGTTTCAAAATAGCCAGAGTGCATCGATGTATGGCTGGTGCATCGATGCATTAAATGCATTCGATGTTTTCATAAAACTCTGAGTGCATCGATGCATAGTATGTGCATCGATGCATGAAATGCATTCAATGTTCAATTTATTCCATGGTGCATCGATGCATGGATTGGTGCATCGGTGCATCACTTTGAAAAATTGATTTTAGGCTTGATTTTGTTTCAAAATACTTGTAATTTTTTTTTCAAAAATATATTAAGTATAAAACACAATTTTACACATTTAGTAAGATTTGAAATTGATCTTGAAGATTTGGAGTAATAATTTGATATTCGAGTAATTAAATCGAATATACTTAGAAAATCATTTGTAAAATCTTAAAATTCATTTATACTTAATTTGTTATATCAAAACATCAAAATGTTTTCAACAATCTCCCCCTTTTTGATATAACAAAACATGTGTGTAATTTTAAGATTTTCTTTGAAAATAAATTTTGAAAAATTACTTCCCCTTACTCTAACATTTCTCCCCTTTAACATTTTTACACTTCCCCCCCTTTTTGTTAAATCAAAAAGACTTAAAAATCGATTTAAGCAAGGTTTTAAAAAACATAGCCAATTGATTATAAGTATATATATAGCTTAAGCTGCTAAGATCAAAGATCAAAAGAGAGATTAGCCATTAGTTTCATAATCAATATTCATAATCAAATGTGAAATGACATAATTGGTCATAATGAACTAATATGATGCAAAAATTTAAGAAATATTAAGCTCAAAATAATAAAGTTAAAGTCAAACCAAATACATATAATAAGTTCAATCAGCCAAGCATCCAAATCATAACTCCTAACAAATTCAAACATTTAAGGATCCAAAATAAACAATCCAGAAACATCAAAATCAATCCAAGTTTTAGAAAACCAAGAAAGCATGAGAAGGAAACAAATCTACTCCATCGGAGGATCGAGAGGAGGAGGATAATGAGCTCGAACTTCAAGAGTGAGAGCGTCCATTCGTTCATGCATCTCTTGTTGAAACTCAATAATCTGATACTCCATGGAGGCAAACCTTAGATCAAACGACTCTAAGAAAGATCGAAAATATGGTTCGTGCTGGTTCCGGTGCAGGCTCATCGTCTGGTACGTAATCGTCGATATCTTGCATGAGCTGCTGAAATTATGGATCATCGTCAGTAGCCGGTGCCGGTGAAGGAGGAGGAGCACGAGAAGAGCTAGGAGCAGCTCGTGAAAAACTCGCTCCCTGAGTTTGCTTACCGGGTCGAAAGACCCAAAGACCAGTTTCCCCATCTTGTTTCCAATCGGCTTTCTTCAACGAGATGAGATTGATTGGGTTTTGGAGAGGAATAAGATTGTCAAGAGAGACATTTAGACCAAGTTTGATAAAAAGGTTACTAAGAAGACATCCATAAACTAATGTTTTGACATGTTTTGAAGGAATAATGTTTATGATATCCACTAGTTGACTAAAAATAATGTGGGGCAGATTTATTTTGTTTTTATTCTTGAGACAGTGCATCCACCATAAATCCCTAGCACGAAGAGTGAAGTATCTACCTCGGGATGGTCTAAACCACCAAAAGATCATCAAATGAAGAAAACGATCGTGATGAGAACGTAGAGTACTAACACTAGCGTTTGGAACATAGGGATAATCCACAGTTTCATTCTCATTAAATAAACCTTCGTCATCTAACCCAAAATGGAAAGCTATAGTCTCGGGGTCAATATTAATATATTGGCCTAAAAGATATGATCTAATTGCTATAGTCCCACATTGAGTTTGGTTTTGAATGCATACATGTTGAAAACATTTTGATATTTCGATATAACAAATTAAGTTAAATGAATTTTAAGATTTTCCAAAAAGATTTTCTAAGTATATTCGATATAATTATTTGAATATCAAAATATTACTCCAAATCTTTCAAATGTCATTTTTAATCCTTACTCAAGTGTAAAATTAAGTTTTAATCTTAAAATAATTTCAAAACGATTTTACAAAATATTTCGAACCATTTCGAAGCCAAAAATTCCAGATTGTTCAGAGGAAACCGATTCCCCCCCCCCAAGGGGGTACCGATTCCCCCTTGAATGGTTTTGCTCCGAGAATTTCAGTATGCTCGGAGGGAACCGATTCCCCCCTAGGGGGTACCGATTCCCCCCATGCTCCAAACTATTTTATTAATTGATTTCACACTAAAACGGCTATATTATCTTCATTAATGATCCCCAACATTCAAGAGTGATTCAAGGTGTATTTAAGCAAGCTTAGAAGCCATTGATCAACAACAAGAAACATCAAGCAATTAGAATCAAGAGAGAATCAAAGAGAAAGCATCAAACCTCAAGTTTGAGCATTTCAAGCCTATTTTTCATTCAATATTCATTTTGCTTTCAAGAACACTTATTGTGCTCAATTGTATTCATTCTTGAGTGTTCTTTTCTTTGTTCTAGAATTGTGCAAACAATCTACCTTGTGAGGATTTCCTTGTAAGTTTGCAAATTTGTATTGTTCTCTTTGGGAGAGAGTGTTCTCAAGAATTTGGGGTATAATTCTTGAGGGTTTGTAAGGTTACTCTTTGTCCTCAAAAGAAAGACAAATTAGTGAATTTGTGGAAAATCCTTAGTGTGGATAGCTAAGGTAGTGGACATAGACTTTGGTTGAGAAAGTCGAACCACTCTAAATCGTTGTGCAATTTCTTTCAATTTTC